ACACACACACACACACACACACACACACACACACTTTATCAACTTCTATTTGAGATTCAGTTTTACCTTTTCAGAAAAGGAATAGTGTTTGCTCTTAGTCTTCCAGCTATTTTTGGCCACATTTAGAAACTTTTGCCAGAAAGCAATTTTATACACCAGATGTAAGGACTCAGTGTCAATATGTGCCGCCATTCTCTTTTATTTAAAAATAGGCAAGGAAGAGGAAAGAGAAGCCAGTTATGTCAATGTGACAAAAACAAAATGGCAAAGAAGGTGTTACACCAAGCCAGCATTTGATCTAAAAAGAGAGCACAATTTGGCCTCTTTTATAGTTTTCCCAAAATTCAAGTCTTTTTGCACTTTTTGCAGCTAACGTGAAGAAATGTGTTTCTTTCTGTTCGGGGCACTGTATCCCTCCTGCTGTTGCACAAAGTGCTCCAGCTGCAGTGTGTGAAAAAGTTTATTAGGTGGAAGGAATTGCTATGATTGTCTAGGGGAATCTTGATAGAAATACTAGATGGGGAAACAGCTGCTTGGTTTACTGTAAAGGGAACACTTCTGATCTTTTTTTTTCTCCTTATGAACACTGACAGTATGATTTTTTTTTCTTTCTTAATAGCCATGGAACATGGGAAATAAGCTATAACCCTGAAATATTATTGTTCTCCTCTTGCCTTCCCTTCCTGTCCTAGGTAATGCACAAGAACTTGCCAACATCCTGAAGTACCACATTGGGGATGAAATTTTAGTGAGTGGAGCAGTTGGTGCTGCTGTAAGAATCAAGTCTCTGCAGGGTGATAAACTGGAAGTCAGCTCTGTAAGTTTATGATCTCTCCCTCCCTTTTTTAAAAAAAAGATTTTTTGTTTTAATTGTAGCTCAATCTGTCCTAATGCAGTTCAAAGAACAGCTACTAAATTTATATCACCTTTAATTTTTTTAAAAATGGCCACTAGGATTTAGCAGACTGGAGGTCTAATGTTGTTTCTTTCCCAGTGGACTTTGTCTTTATTATTGAAGATTAGCATTGATTTACCCTGCCACTGTTTTCATCCTTCCTGCTATGTAGTCTCAAAGCAAATCCTGCTGGATGGTTGGGAATGAAAACTATTTTTTTTATATTGTATTAATTATGTAAGGTTTAGGCAAACCTTTATTTGTATGTTATGGAAAATGAAAATAAAATAAGATTCTCCCACACAGTTCCAGAGACGTTAAGCCGCTCTGCACTTTTTCATGTTTTTGTAAATTCTGTGTTTGAGAAAAAGTAGTTCAACAATTAAAAAAAACTTGCTTGAAAGCACATCAAGGTAGTGTTACTTGAAAATTTAATTAGTTCATCTGACTAGCCAAAGACAGATGCTTGAAAACCAGAATCTGCCTTACAGAGAAAGACCAATAAGTTATAACTAGCATGTACCACAGCCCAATCAAGGTGTGTGTGTGTGTGTGTGTGTGTGTGCATGCACATTATATAAACACTAATTACTCCATTTTTTAGTTTAAGCAAGGACTTCAGCATGGGTTTATAATGGTGTGGCAAAGCAGAACTTTTCTTGAGAAGTGTTATTACTGTATTTTACTTTCCCTTTCCCTTTAGAGCTCAAGGCAAAAACAGTGATATTTTTGCTCTCATTTTCCCCCCCTTTATTTGTATGCCGCCCTTTTCCCTGGGGGGGACTCAGGGCGGCTCACAATTCAAAAGGGGGGGGAAAGACAAACAG